AACAAAGAAAAAATAAAATATTGATAAATTTAAGGAGAGAAGGAGCACCAGGAATTGGAAAGGGCCTAAGTCTTATAAAATAGGAAATAAGCAGATTCAGAAATGGAATAAGGGAAGTGATGATCTACAGGCAAGATCCCACCCAGCGAACTTTCCAACTTGTGAAAAGGAATTGAAGAGAATCTTAGATCTGGTTGTGGTGGGGCACACCTTTAATTCCAGCACTCCAGAGCCAGATGCAGAAAGATCTCTGAGTTTGAGGGCACTTAGGTCTATAGATCCAGTTTCAGAACAATCAAAATTATGAGGAAAAGGAATTAATGGAAAACAGAAGATGTAATTGAATGAGGGGTCCAAGTTCTAGCCCTATTATGTAGCAAAACTTTGTAGCGCTGGTCATGCGGTCCTATCTTTAGAATCAAGGATAGAGGAAAGGAGTTATGGAATCTTCCTACTTGAGTGAAGAAAGTCAGTGTGGCCAGGAATGTGTCAGGGGTGTCTCTGAATGGAGGCCTAGAGACACCATCATTTGAGCTGTGAAGGTGAAGCCTGGATTGTCTTGGAGACCCCAAGTTGTTGAAGATGCCAGAGGCATGGGATGCCTGCCAAGGAAAGATGCTAACAGCGACTGGAATCAGCCCAACAGACAGAAGTGTGTTGAGGTCAGTAAAGATGAAAGGAATTGGAGATCTGAAGAGCATTTTGACATCAGACATGGAGATGCAGAGTTCCAGGTTTGCCCAGCTGGTTTTCAGTCTTGCTTTGCTCCAGTATTTCCTCACTGTTCTCCCTTTCCTCCATTTTGGAATGGTATTAGATATACTGTGCCATTATGTGCTGGAAGTATGTTGATCATTTCAATTTTGACTTTACAGGGGATTACAGTTAAGAGATTGCATGAGTCTCAGAAGAGATTTTGAACTCTAGACCCTTAAATAAGTTTGAAACTATTATAGACTATGAGGAAACTTTTGAAGTTGGACAGATTTCATTTTTTCATTATGACTACAAGTCTATGGAGGACAGTAGAGGAATGTGTTACTTTGAAAGAATTGGCCCCATAGAGAGTGGCACTATTAGAATTTTTGGTTTTGTTTGAGTAGATGTGGCATGTTGGATGCAGTATGCCACTGTTGGTATATAATTTCAGGTCTCCATTGCTCAGCTACACTCAGAGTAACACAGAGTTGTTTCTGCTGTCTGTGGGTCAAGATGCAAAACTCTCAACTCCTTCTCTAGCACCATGTCTTCCTGTATGCCACCTGCCAGGATGATAACGGAGGGTATGCCAGCTCTAATTAAATGTTTTCTTTATTAGAGTTGCCGTGGTCATGGTGTCTCTTCACAGCAATAGAAACCCCAAGTAAGAAGCTCCACTCACATCATGGTCCTCTCTCAGTCCTTCTATTCCTGTCTCTTGGTTCACCAATTCTTCTGGCCCAAAGCAGATTATTATAGCTAAGATGTGGAAAACAACATGGCTATTTTGTTGGCAAAGTGATAGCATATAATTGCTTCATAACACTTTATTCTGTTATATAAACATAAAGATTATGAATTTTACCTTAAAAATAAGCACCAAATAAAGAATGTGAGAGTCATTCCGGGAAGATATGATACAATTACACATAGAGGATAGTTCATCAATAATTCCCACCAGAGTCGTCTTTAATTACAAGCTCTCACTGTGGTTATCACTCAATTTTCCCCAAGTACACACTCTACAGTGTCTGTTACTTTAATACATAAAAGTCCTTCAGCTAGAGCCCTCATCTAGTAGCTGATGGAAGCAGAAGCAGAGATCCACAACTAACTGCTGGGTTGAATTCCTGGAGTCCAGTTGTAGAGAGGGAGGAGTGATAATATGAGCAAAGGGGTTAAGAACTTGTTGGGGAAACCCCACAGAAACAGCTGATCTGAGCAAGTGGGATCTCACTGACTCCAGACTGACAGCTGAGGAGCCTGTATGAGATTGAACTAGGTGGCCTGAAAGTGGGTGTCAGTTGGGGGATTGGGCAATATATGGGGCTGCTGGCAGTGGAAACAGTTCTCATCCCTAGTGCATGATCTGGCTCTTTGGAGCCCATTCTGTATCGATGGATACCTTGCTCAACCTAGATACATGGCAGATGTTGGGGAAGTTCTAGGTCCTGCCCCAAATGATGAGACAAACTTTGACATTCTACAGGGAAGAATCTTTCTGAGGAGTGAATGGGGATTGTGATGGAGAGGTGATGAGGGGAGTGGAAGACAGGAGGGAGAAGACACTGGGATTGGTATATAAAATAAGTTTTTTTAAATGTCCTTTCTCTATCTGCCCTCCCCTGTGTCTTCTGACAGGGCAATACCCATATGAGCATGTGCCTCAGCCAAAGTGGCAGTGACAACTTTCTCTGGACCATGGAGTCAAGAGGCAGGACCTGACAGCAGGGAGGGATTTGCAATTAAAAAGTTACTCTTTAAAAGGAATAGAAGAGATGACTGGGCCTGAGCTTCTGCTGTGAGCCATATCTCAGTCCATTGTCCGGCTGGGTTCTTGGTTGATGTTCATGGACCCTGTTACCATAGGAGTCCATAGGAATCATGCATGTTGAAATCTGAAGGCTATGCTGAGCCCAGCTCTGCTCTTCACTGGCCCTAGCAAAGCTGGCCCTACCCCTCAGTGGACATTGCAGCAGAAGAGGTGGGTGAGCCCTTCATGGGAAAGTTAACCCCATATTAGGGAGATATCCTTTACCATGGATATGGGAGATTGGTCCCAATGGCTTTGGAGGAGAGCCGGCTCTGCCCCTCACCTGAGGGGTGTGGTTCCAGCAGCCCAAACTGAGGGGCTCGGCTATCATCTAGGCCCACATCCTTGTCCTTGGGTTGGACCTCCCTGATTTCTACCCCATTATGACCTGTTATAGCATGTGAGAAAACTGGTCCTGCAGAATGATAGGCTCAGGATCTCCATGACAGAGTTGGGGCAACTGCAGGATATCAAAGGGGGGCTCTATATAGTCCAGTGATGATGGTGTGCCAGAGGCCAGAGACCTTGAACCAGATGAATGACTCATTGCAATAAACATTTGATGGTAGGGATGATTGGATAAGGGGGTATAAAGTGTGACACACTGAATCTCACATTGCCATTAAGTCAAATGAAGAGGTATTAGAGGCAGGAAAGATGGTGCATTGTGGTGGGCTTTTTTGTTTCATTTTGGTTTTTATTAATTATTGTGGGGATTCATTTGGGGGAGATGCTGAAGGGGTCAGGATCAGACATGGGGATGCTAGAGGTGTATGGGACTGGGGTGCAATGTGTACACACACACACACACACACACACACAGAGAGAGAGAGAGAGAGAGAGAGAGAGAGAGAGAGAGAGAGAGAGAGAGAGAGATTTGATGAAACTCAAGACTCAAGGGTTTCCCTGGCAGCTGTAACTAGAGATGAATGTTATCTTCCTCCCTTCACATGTTCTGTAAAACTCAAAAGGGCTGAAGGGTCAAGATGCTTTGGGCTGTTGAGATGTGTGTGCCCCTGATAACCACAGACCTTGCTCCAGTAAGAATAAGAACTGTTTTATTCTGCATCAATTAAGAGGGTCCATGATCTGTAACAGAGATTCAGGTTGCCCTATGTGGCCGGTTCTATTGTGGAAATGTATGGTGATATTTTGTTTGTCATCTAACAAATAAAGTCTGACTGAAGATCAGTGTGCAAAGCTAAGCCACTAGTTACCGTGGAGGCCAGGCGGTGATGGCACACACTTTTAATCCCAGCACTTGGGAGGCAGAGACAGATGGATCTCTTTGAATTCAAGGCCACCCTGGGCCACACCAGGTTAATGCAGTGTCAAACAGAAACACAGAAAGAAGTGTGGCTCACACATTTAATCCCAGTACTTGGAAGTCACAGGCCATGAATCCAACCATTACAGAGGTGCTCAGTTTCACGATGCATTTCAAATGCTTTACCTAGTGCTCAAGATGTGAGGTCAGACACAGAGCTTTGTAAATCACTACTAAGGAGACTACACACAGACTCCTCCTTTTCCAGAGAACTTCCTCTACAGAAGGATGGGGGGGGGACCCAAAAACTCATAGTAACTGTTTTGTGCATGTTGAGTTATCCATTGTCCTATGTGGACCTGGGAGGATGCTCTCTCTCTCAGATGAGAAGTGAAGGGAATTGAGTCTTCCAAACTGAAATCAGTTCTTCTGGGGAAACCCTGTTTTAGATGTGGAGAAATCTGAGAACATGCCAGAGTTATTCTCTGTTTCTTCTTTGAAAATGATGGCCAGTAGGTGGCTCTCTTCCTCTAAGTGTTTGCCTGTACTGTAAACATTACAAATAGTGTCTTGTACCTACATCACCCCACCCACCATCACCTCTCTGTTTTCTGCCATAGTCAGCATTAGGTCATTAGAAGAACACATTCAAAAAAAAGAAAACCTCTCACATGAGAGTTTCTCACAAACCTTGAATTTCTTCTGGTGGCTATGCACTTCCAGGTAAATTAACAGCCAGAAACTGAGATGTTACAGAAATCTGTTGTACAGTGAGCAGAGCTGATTAATGAGGAGAGAACGGGGAGCACACACTGGCACTTTCCACATCAGGGAGGAGGAAACCCGGACTGTGAGACTGAAAGATGGGGTCTGGGAAAGCAGGTACAGAATTAGATATCACAAGTGTTTTATACAACAAATTGAATAGGATTCAAAATAATTTAATTGCGTATGATGATTTGTACATTAAAGAAAATAAAAACTGCAAATTTTAACTTATATAACTTAAATTATATAAATAGTAAGATAAATATACACATAAATAACCAAATTGATGCATAAACAAATGTCTTTGCATATATATAAAATTTCCTGTTTTGCTGAAACATCTAGGCACTGTTTGAACTCATGTTAAAATAAATGATAGTTTTTAAAGGAGAATTTATGCACGGATGCACAATGTCCTAGCTCAGGAGAGTCCTCTCCATTTTTGCTCCAGGCTTACTCCTTCTCCTCAATCAATCTTTCTAGCAACTTTGTTGAGGAATCCAGGGCTTTCCAGACTTCTGCTCTGACCACCTCCCAGGCACAGCGGCTGTATTTCTTCTCTCTCAGGTAGGCAGTGATCCTGTGGAAGTAATTCTTCACAGGCAACTCCCAGTCTTTCATCCACACCTGATGGATCAGACAGTCTTTCAGGTTATTGAACTGCTGGTGGAGTCTATCACAGAGTGTTTCTAGGAGGTTTGTCTCCCAAGGAGCAGATGAGTCCTTTGAGCTGAAGAGGTTCAGTACTTGATGAATCAGCTCCTGTAGGACAAAGATGGCTTGAGGCTCCTGAATCTCCTCCTCTAGAGGAAATGCAAAGTACTTTCTGTCCTTCAGGCAGGAGAGAGGGGAAAGTCTCATTTCTTTCAGGAGTGTCAAGACTGTATTGTTCCTGAGGTTAGGAGCCTGAGGCAGGTCACATCCCAGACAGCAGGTCGACCAATAGCTCATCACCACCAGGGCCATCAGAAAAGCACAGGGTCTAGCCATTGTGGATGTTGCAGATGCTGCTGGTCCTCTGGGCTGTGTGGTCCTGATCCTTCCCCTCTAGGTTCTCTGAAGACCATGCTGTGAGCATCTATCTTAAATAGGAAAAACACTATTTTCCATTTTCTGAATGCTTGCCCTCATTTTCCAGTGTCTTTTCATTTTGGTTAACTCATTCTCTCCTTGTTTCTTGGATTTTTTTCTAAACGTTTTGGTTTTCACCTTTGCTTCCTCTTTCTGTGCTCCCCTCAGAAAGCAGGTTTACAGCTTTTCTTCTTGTAACTGGAATTATCACTAACACTTACACCACAGATGATCTTTTTGTTTTCCAGCTTACACATTATATGTAAAGACAAAATTTTCTCTAAAACTTGTATTTGAAAGTATTGAAATTCACTTTACCATAATTTTGTATATATGTATATATTGTGTATATATATGTATATGTTTCAATCATAATAAAGGTATGACCCAAATCGTTTCAAAATTAAAATATTTATGCTCATGACGGTGGTGGTGTGCACCTTTAATACCAGTACTGGGGAGGCTAAGGCAGGCAGATCTCTGATTTCAAGGCTAGTCTGGTCTACCAACAGATTTCCAGAACAACCAGGGCTACTCAAAGAAGCCCTGTCTAAAAAAAAACAAAATAGACAAAAAAGTATTGATACTAATGACATATTTTACATTTATCCAATGTTTAAAGGCTTTACTAAGTTATTTTCTTCAATTTACCTCCATCAACTCTAATATTAATTTATATGAAATATTAACTGAATAATCAGTGTGTCTTCTTTATTCATCCAATGGTTATCATGTGTAAAAGCTTGCTGCTCAGGCCTGCTGAGCTGAGATTGATTCCTGGAACACATGCTTGAAATACAGAAACCGACTCTTGTAAGTTGGACTCAGACCACTACATACACACTTGGCAAGCTTGTGCCTACAAATGCATGCTCAATGCATGCATGCACACACAGCACCCACATACCATGATACACATTCACATAGGTACACACGCTCACTCATTCATTAACATGGATACACACAGACATACAGAATCATATACACATGCATTCAAACATGCAAATACTCAGTAACATACACAGATACACACAGTCACATAAATGCACACCCACAGGAAGAAACACACAAAAACACATTCATACACATATGTACACACATACTCACATACACAAATTCACACACATTACACACATATATGCACACACATATAAATACACTCCCCTACATATGTCTGCACATACAGTCACACATAAGACAGATTTTCAATACATACACACAAAAAAGCCACACACAGGAACATACCAATGAACCCGTACATACAAATAAATACACATTCAAACATAAACACTCACAAACATACTCACACTGACACACACATGTACAAATTGCCACACATACACATACATTCATAAAGACACACATATGTGCAAAACACTCACATTCAGGCACACACACATGTGTATCCTTATACACGCTTTTACACACATACATCTCGAAACTCACACACACAGACACACAGGCACAGACACATAACCATGCTGAGAGACACATAGACATATACAGGCACAGACTCACACACATATACACATGTAGTCACACACGAGTAATAGGCTATTAAAACTCTCAGAGCTAAATTTTCACTCACTTTACTTCACAACCTTAGAATGTTAACTCCGTGGATTTATGGAGGCATTACATAGTAGCAAGATGATGTGATTCACAAAGTCACTCACTTCATGGTGGCCAAAGGGCAGACAGGAACAAAGTGTGTCCTTAGGATGGAGGCCCCTAACCTTCCTCCAGCAAAGCATCACTACCCAATGGCTCACTCATCTGGAACAATCAGTGGATTTGCATTGATACAGTTTGATACTTGAGGAAGAGATGAAGGCTCATATTCCCTGAGAATATTGCTCCCATGACTACCAACCTCCAACACAGGAAACCTTGAGAGACATTTTGTGTCCAAACCACAGCATACAGGTCAAGTGTCTGAACTTTGTATTTCAAAGGCTTAGGTTCTCAAATGCTATGCCATGAGTACAATTAAAATGATAACAAGTTTATAATCATTTTAATCAGCATATATTTTTTATCTTCATGCACAGGACACTGTAGGGTGGTTTAATCCCTATAAACAATGTTTGTATCAAATCATAATAGAAGCAGTTCTAGGTTTTCAACATCTACAGCAGCTAGGGATCTGCCTGGTCATTTCTGTGTGTTTGCCAACTGCAAAGTCTTTGTCCTCATTCTGTGAATAATACATAAATTAATTTAATTATTGGCAGCAAATAATGCTATATTGTTTTAGATTAGGTAAAAAGACCTTCTGTGTATGGGAACATTGGAGTCATCATTTGTTTGTGTTCAAACTGAATCTAACTGGAATATATTATGCTGTTGAAGACTTCAGTTGCTACTATTTTCTGGGTATATACATTGGAAACATGTCTCCTCATCTCTGTGTGTATTGACCCAGGTGATGGATTCTTGGCTGTACAGACCCTTCTTAGTCTCTTTCTTTTGCTCAGTCTCCGTGGCTTTCTGATGATTCTGTCTTAGAATCCTTATCCAGGAAGTCTGTCTGTCTGTCTTTCTGTCATTCCTGTAGATCCACATAAGTGACAAGACTTACCTTTAAGTTTCAAATGTTTAGGAAAGTGAAGGAAATGCAGGAATCTCTTAAGCATGTTAGTAGGGATGCATCGATGATACTTTAGTTTGTGTCTGTCTGAAAGTTCATCAATCCTCCATTTCAAGAACACAATTTTGTACCCATGCACACATATGTATGTGCACATGCACACACTCACACAAATACACACACAGTTATTTAATTCCTTTAATATGAATGTATTCTTTTGAAAAGACAGTATTTAGGCCTTAACTTCATTGCTCACTTTAAGTGGAACGTGATGGCTCAGGGCCTCTTGGGCTTCTATACCTGGGCAGTGATTGGGCAGAGCCTTCATAGCACAGAGTCTCATCACAATGGAGATCCAGATGGTGCTTTTCCTGTTTGTTCCCATAGGTGACTCATTACAGGCAAAGCGGTTCCCTGACATTTCTCCCTCTCAGGAATGAATTCCTGCAGGACACAAGGCTGTGCTTCCCTGCTCCCTTAAAGTCAGGATCAGTATTGACCCCCTCCTTTCTGCCTACCCTATTTGCACTGAGGACTACAGTGTTCTTCACCCTGGGACAATCAACCAGCCCCTAGGTGCTGGTTCCTCCTTGGTGTGTATGTGTGTGCAGAGTCTGATTCCAGGACAGTGTTACTTCTCCAGTACCAATGGGACTTACTCAGAAGCCCTCAAGTTCATTAGCACTCTCTGCTGCACAGTGACATCACATCCTCACTCTTGTACCTTACTCCATGAGAGTGTGCTTACAAGGAAGAATTCAGTACTCATATGGGAATCATGTCTTCTTGGTTTCAGTTTCATAAATCCTAGGTTACTGCTTTTATTTTTAGTTGTTTATGTGAAGGACATTTGTTTTCAGTTAAACCCACAGAATTTGAGAATAGAATAATAGGAATAGGTCAGGGAAGTCAAAGACGAAGTCACAATTTGACAGGAGCAAGATATTCTGGCTTAACTACTGCACAGTGTGCTGCTTATATATGGGAAAGTACTCTGTACTGGAGAAATGTAACGATTCAGTTTTATCATCAATGAATGAGAAGTGTGAGATAGGCATATCTACTCATCTAAACAACAGACAATGTTAAACATCAACAATAATTTGCACCCTAGTCATGCATGTAATTTTTATACTGAAGAATATCAGATGAAAACATTATAAAATTTTGAAATGATGTAAAGAATGAAAATGGAAAGTCAGATTCATTAAGGAATAATTTACACAACATAGAAAATAATCTGGTTACATATGTATTCACCTCAATAAAAATTTATACCAATGTCATGTTATAATTGAAAAGTATGCCAAATAAATAGTTCAATCAATCAGTAAGTATGAAAATATGGAGACCCAGTATTGCCCATTCCTGACAGAATCTAGGCAAGTTCATTGTCATTGTCATTGTGCTAAAATAATTAATAATTTTGAGATTGCAGAGTTTGAGCAGTGAGTATCAGTGTTGCAGTCCCAGAGAGTGCTCTCCACTTTGCTCAGGACCTCCTCCTTCTCCTCTCTCAATCTTGCCAGCAAGTTGGCTGAGGAAGACAGGGCTCTCCAGACTTTTTCTCTGACCACCTCTCAGGCACAAAGGCTGTGGTTCTTCTCTCTCAGGTACACAGTGATCCTGTGGAAGTATTTCCTCACAGCCACCAGGGAGTCTTCCTGGCTCAGGGCAGGTTCCTGCTCCCCCACCTGCTGCATCAGACAGGCTTGCAGGTCACTGAGCTTCTGGTGGAGGCCACTGCAGAATGTGTCTAAGAGGGCTGTCTCCCAAGCAGCAGATGAGTCCTTTGAGCTGAAGAGGATCAGGACCTGCTGGGTCAGCTCCTGCAGGACAGGGATAACTAGACTCCTGGAGTTGCTGGACATCCACCTTCTAGATGGAATGCCAAGGCTCCTCATTTGTGGCATGAGTTTCAAGGCTGTCTTGTTCCTGAGGCTATGAGTCTGAGGGCATTCACCACCAAAGCCATCATTAAAAGCATAGGGCCTGGCCACTGTAGCTCTTGTAGGTGCTGCTTGTACCCTTGGGTCTCTTTTGATCAATCAATCTTTCTTCTGGGTTCTCTGAAAACCTTCCTGTGAGTATGTGTCTTTAGTGGGTGAAAACACTAGTTTCCATTTTTTAATGTCCTTCCCTTACTTCCCAATTATTTTTTTTCACTTTCATGCATTCATTCTCTGTTCTGTCTGGGATTTTTTTCATAAGCATTTTGGTTTCCATTGTTGTATCAACATTCCCTGTACCTCTCAACAAAACCATCTTAGAAGTTCTCCTCCAAATCAATTTTCTGTAACTTTAACCATGTAGATATACATTGAATATATGAAATTTAATCACCTAATATAAAGAATAAAGAATTTCGCCCAAAACATGTATTTAAAAGGTACTGAATGGCTCGGTCATCAACATTCTTGGACCACACACGTGAGTATATGCTTAGTTTCACAGCACTCATGTAAATTCAGGCACTGTAGCACATACCTGGACTCCTGAAAATTGGAAGGTGACACAGACAGGTCCCTCGAGATCCCTTGCCATTAAATTTAACTGCAATGCCGATCCCTAGCTTAAGGAAGAGAACTTCTCACAGAAACCAAGAGAGGCAGTGACTGAGGTAGCAACTGGATATTGACATGTCTTCAACATGAATGAGCATGGACAAGAAAAAACAAATACACAAACATGTATATACCCTACATCAAGCACACACTAGCAAGAAATATAAATTTTAAAAAGGAAATACAAATTGAGCCAGATGTTGTTACTCATACCTTTTTTTCTTAATATTTGGGCGACAAAGGAACACTGATTTCTGTGCTGAAAGTAGGCGTGGTCTACAAATTTTTTTTCCAGGACAGCAATAGACACCTAGTGAAACTTTACAAAAACAGTAAAAAGAAAAGAATGCTCAAATAAATTGAGAAAGTTTAAGTCTCATATATTTATTAAAATGTAAAGATGAATACATTATATTCAAGCACTCAAATGTTACAGATATTGTACATTAAAAGGAAATATATTAACAAAGAAATAGATGAAGTATAAAGCCTGTCCTCTCTTAAGCCTGTTATTCCCATAGATGAATACATTTAACATCCACAAGCATCATGAGGTTAAAATCAGTGCTCCCTGTTCCTAAAGAAATGTCTCTAAAGTAGGAGCTAGAATCTTTACAAAATGACCATTGATACATGGAAATACTTGAGATGACAAAGCAGTCAGAAAGACTATTTCAAGCATTTTCATTTTCACAACTTTTATTCATAGTGCTTTTTTTCCTTTTTTATGGTTCATTTGTGTGTTTTCTCTGTGGCTTGGAACGCAAGACTCAGATACTGTTTGAAATAAAATGTTAATTTTCCTGGTAAACCTCAGGTATGTTAAATATAAATATAGAAAGCATTGTTCCAATGAGAAAGATCTGTGGTAGAATGTCAAAGTGCATACATGTATGAAAAAATACACCAAATAACCGAATTTTTAGCTGTAGTCTTCACCCCGCAGTTTCCCTTGCTTCCCAGAGATGATGCTCTCTCACCTCTATGAGTTTCCTTTACTGCAGAGAAATTGGGCAGAGCCTTCATAGCACAGAGACTCTTCAGAATGAAGACACAGACAATGTTTTTCTGATTATTCCCATGGGTGACTCATTACAGTAGACAGAGCTTCGCTAATAATTCTCTCTCAGGAACCAATTCTTGAAGGCCGTGGGGTTGTGCCTCACTGCTCCTCAAAGTCAGGACTAATGCAGGTATCTCCTTTTCTGTCTGCCATTTGAGCACCAAGGTCTACAGTGTTCTTCAACCTGTAACAAGTACCCCTACCCTGAATGCTGGTTCCTTCTTGGTCTGTGTGTGGAGAGTCTGATGCCAATGTGATGCCATTTTCCAAGTACCATGTGACTCACTCAGTGGCTTTTGAGTATACCCACACTCTCTGCTGCACAGTGACACAATACCTTCCATCCTTCTCTTGTCCCCCAGCCCTTGAGAGTGTGCTCACCACATCCTGATGACTTCAGCTCTCATACTGGATATGGTGTTTGCTTGGTTTTTCACCATTCTAAATGCTAGACGATTACTGCTCTTAGTGTGTTCATGTGAAGGGCTTTGGTTTTCAGTCATGACTTACATTTCTAGGGATCTGAGTACCACATATTCCCAGATGTTAATGGCAAAACAGATGACCTGCCTATATTGAAGAAGAAAATTTTCCAGGTAGTCTTAATTTCATTCATAGTAGATAATTATTGTCAAGTATTCTTCTATGATCAGCACTTAATCATTGAATACTTGTTGTGCTTGAAATAATTGGATTGAACTACAAGACCCACTGATAGCTGATCATTACAGTCTAAAGTTTAAACTTTTTATCCAGTTTCAGTACAGTAAATGATTAAGGGTCCTTGCATCCCCATCTCCTTTCAACGCAAAACTGCATGGTAGAGGCATTCAGACTATTCTGGAGAGGAAGAGCTTTATGTACTTAAAATATTTATAATTTCTCTTTTAATTTTACTGCATTTTGGATGTGTACACTTAATGGTGGATTCTGCCTAATGTCTTTCCTTGTACTTACTCCTTAATGATGTTAGACAGCAAAATGACACAATTGGATAGCATCAGTTCTCCTTAATTTTTATGACAATTAACTTTTAATTATTTATTTACTTACTTACCTACTTTCTTACTTACTTACTTTTGTATTTCCTACTTTCCTAGATAGCAAAACTCAGCTTTGGTTCTTAGCATGGAAATGAAAATGTGACATCAGCTGTTGAAAGCAAAAAGAGGAAGTGACATTTGCTGCCCAGATGGGAAGCAATGCAGTAATGTTAGTAACATTCAAGATAGCCCTCATGGATTTCCTACCATCATGAAATAAAGTAATTTATACAGGTGTAAATGACTATATATTGAAAGTGAACTAAAATGTAATGATGTTTCAATAAAAATTTATTTAACAACTTTCCACTCAGAAACAGAAATAAAAATCATTAAATATACATTGAAGCACAAAGAGAATTGTGAGTATATAACAATGCATGTTTCCATATGCTGTTGAGGTATAGTAACCAGAAGAGCAGGGCATTAACAAAAAAAGCAAATATGCAGATCAGTGAAAATAGGGTAGGTGACCCAGAAATAAATGCTCACAGCTACATCCCACACCCCTCCTGAATTTTCTGAATTACCAACAGCACATATTGTGTTGGGGTCTCTTCTGTAACCATGTCTAAGAGAATGAAACTAGGTCTCTACGTGCTACTCAGTACAACAATCAAATCAAAATGATAAAAGACCTTAATGTAAATGCAGAAACTCTGAAGTTGATAAAACAGACATAGAGAAAACACTTCTTTATAGCTATAGGCAAAGGGCATCCCACCATAAGGAATGGGCTCCCACAGCCTGGATCTTGCACCTGGCATAGATCCTGGCCCTGCTGTTAGGGACCCTCAGATACACCAAGCTACACAACTGTCTCCCACATGCTGAGGGCCTCGTTCATTCCCATGGAAGCTCCACAGCTGTTGATTTAGTGCTCATGAGTTCCCACAAGCTTGGTTCAGCTGTCTCTGTAGATTTCTCCTTCGTGATCTTAACCTCCCTTGCTCATCTATTCCCTTCTCCTCCTCTTTGACTGATTCCCAGAGCTTGGCCTGGTGCTTAGTTTTACATCTCAGAGACACTTTTAAAGACTTACATATATACCCTTAGGCTAGTGAAATACTTAAACTTCTTAAAAGATAATTCCTCATGCAGGAGATGGTGGGTAATATGGGAACTTAGTGTTAATCAAATGGCAGAACATAAGCATCTGTGAGTACTCATTCAAGATGGAATGTTAATATCACACCTCCTTCCCCTACCAAGACTCATGGTACATTGGAGAAGAAGGAGCAGAAAGATAATAAAGCAAATGTTGGGGAAGATTGCTGAAAAATACCTTCTAAACATAACAGAACTATAGCACTCATGTGCTCAGGGCAGCTGTGATTGTGGGCAAAAGATATGTAGACAAGATCAATCCAGCAACATTTCAGCATGGAGAAGGAAGGGGCTCAAATTCCCCATCCATAATTGAGCTGCCACTGGCAGTTGATGGATACTGAGGGAGAGTCAGTTATCTTCAATGGTGTGGCCCATGCTAGATGACTTATTCTTCAGTGGATATCACCCTATACCTATGCAAATAGGGAAAGCACTAATTGGATTAGTTGGGCTATAATAAAAAGATAAAGACTGAAATAAGGCCTGATGTTAGGATGAGAATGTGGTGGGGAGGTGTAGGAAGAGTCAGAGGCAGGGACCACAGTGTGTATGTGATCTAAATACATTGCTATGCATGTATGAAATTACCAAAGAGGAGACATAAATTTAAAAAATAGTGCCATCGCAATTTGATATGAAAATATGTTCTCCTTTACTGTCACACAACATATTGGCTACAAAGGAGAGTTGTATACTATATATTATAAAACACTAGAAGATGAGATTTCAGGTTTTTTCTTTTGGTTTTTTGAGACAGGGTTTCTCTGTGTAGCTCTTGGAGCCTGTCCTGGCACTCACTCTGAACAGGCTGGCCTTGAACTCACATAGATCACCTGCCTCTGCTTCCTAAGTGCTGGGATTAAAAGCATGCACCACCACTACCTGGAAATTTTAGGTGTTTTAAACCTAAAGAAATGATAACTACAAGATGTGCAGGTGTGCTTATATTTAAACATCATGCAATTTACACATGTACCCTATCAATATATGTGGTTTTTACTTTGTAATGTTAGTATAAAGAAATTAAAAATGATAAAATATAAAGAATGGAAAAATATAAGACATGATGAAATTTAATGAACACAGAAAAGTAATTTTATTACATATAAAGAAGGTGTTTTTATATTAGAGAAAATGTAAAATTTCACATGATATTATAATTTAATTTTATACTTAAATAAATTTCTATATACATGAATAGAAATAACCAGATGATTCTAGAAGCTAGTGTGTTTACAATACACAGTATTGATCATAATAGATGAAACATTCAGTGACTGAGATTATTGAAGAAGCAGAATTGGTGAGGTGACATGTAGTGTCCTCGTCCAGGAGAGTCCTCTCCACTTTGATCAGGACTTATTCCTTCTCCTCACTCAATCTTGCCAGCAAGTTGGCTGAGGAAGACAGGGCTCTCCAGACTTCTGCTCTGACCACCTCCCAGGCACAGGGGCTGTGGTTCTTCTCTCTCAGGTACACAGTGATCCTCTGGAAGTATTTCCTCACTGCCACCAGGGAGTCTTCCTGGCTCAGGGCAGGTTCCTGCTCCCCCACCTGCTGCATCAGACAGGCTTGCAGGTCACTGAGCTGCTGGTGGAGGTCAGTGCAGAATGTGTCTAGGAGGGCTGTCTCCCAAGCAGCAGATGAGTCCTTGGAGCTGAAGAGGATGAGGACCTGCTGGGTCAGCTCCTGCAGGACAGGGATGGCTTGAGCCTTCTGCATGTGCTGGGCATCCACCTTCTCCAGAGGGAATGCAAAGTCCTTTCTGTCCTTCAGGCAGGAGAGAGGGGAGAGTCTCCTCATTTGTGTCAGGAGTGTCAAGGCTCTCTTGTTCCTGAGGTTATGAGTCTGAGGCAGGTCACATCCCAGAGAGTAGGTTGACCAGTAGCTCATCACCACCAGGATCATCAGAAAAGCACAGGGCCTGGCCATTGTGGATTTTGCAGATACTGTTGATCTCCTTGGCTATGTGGTCCTGAACCTTCCCCTCTAGGCTTTCTGACTACCATTCTGTTTACATGTATCTTAAATAAGAGAAAACATTAGTTTCCATTTTCTCAAGTCCCCCCCCCCTTACTTCCCAATTCTCTTTTCACTTTCTCTCATTCATTTTCTGCTAATGTCTGGGCATTTTTCTCAACCATTTTTGTATTCATATTGTGTCACCTTTCCCTGATTTCCCTCAACAAAGCCATTTTGGAAGTACTTTTCTAAATACATTTTCATTGCCTTTTACAATATGCACATAACTTCAAATTATGAAGTTTGCTTATCTGATGCAAAGAATGTAAAAAAAATCCTTAAAAGCATACATAGAAGCTGTTGAATGACTCAGTCACCCATATTCTAGGAGCACATGCATGAGTACCTGATTGGTCTCCTAGAACTGACGCAAAAAGCAGGCACCAAAGCAAATGCCTGTAATCCCAAAGCTTGGGCAGTAACACAGACAGGTCCCTAGAGGTTCAAGGCCATCCAATCTACCTATAATGTCGAGCTCTGTCTTAAAGGAAAGAACCTGCCACAGAAAACAAGGTAGGAAGTGAGTGAGTAAATAACTGGACAGTGACATCTGGAATCCCACCTGTGTGAACACACACATGCAGATGCAAACCCAGGAATAGGTGTAAATACTACACCAGATACACACACACACACACACACACACACACACACACACACACACACACTAAAGACAAAGATAAACTAAATGAAAAAATACAAATTCAGTCAAGTGTGATGGCTCATGCCTTTGTTATTAATATTTGGGAGACAGAGGAAGGTGGTTATCTGTATTGGAAGATAGGTTGGCCTGTCTAGTCAGTTTCAGGATGGCCAGTGCTACATAGAGAAACTCTGATTAAAAAAATAATAAGCCAGGTATATTTAGAAGCTAAAGATTTATACATTTATCAAAGTGTAAAAGTGAGTACATTATACATTAATATCTAAATCTCATCTAACAAAGATGGCGGGGTCTGCCAGCACATGCTCTGAGCTCTGAGGGTTCTGCAGGAAAAGGGTCTGCGAGGCCCAAACAGCTCCAGAACAACTAGGAAAATAATAAGGCAAGACTTATGAGAAGTTGCTTTCAAAATGCGAACTCAAAAAATTTTGGAACAGAGCCAGGTGTGGAAAATATAATGACTCTATAGTCTTCTCCGTCATGTTTCAGCCAGCAGGCTACAGGCACAAAATTCATTTCTGATGTGCCGTAGGGCTGCTGGCACTGATGACAGGGAGCTGTGTGGCTCTCTGGAGCTCCTGCAGAACATCTGCTGAACAGGGCCAGTTCTAGGCCAACTGGCCACCCCCTGACATGACGCTACTGTGCCTGTGGCCAATCCTGCTTGCCCTGCTGAGAGACAGAGGGATGTGCAATTGCCTAGAGCTCCCATGGAAGTATGTCATAACGGAATAGGAATAGGGCCAGTCCTGGACCAGCCAGTCGGAACCCAGCATGACCCAGCTGAAGCCAAGGCTGGAGCTTCTTGCCCTGCTAGGGAAGAGACAGAGCGAGAGAGTGGATGGCAGTTCTGTCTTCAGGCTACAAGCACAAAGGTTGAGCCCGGGAAGCCTCAGGTTGGCAGACTCAGAGGAGTGCTTCAGCCAGATGCTGGCACAGAACCTGCCCCAGGATACCCTGCAGAACTATAATATCACCCTGACTCTGGATAACTGCAGGATATCCCAGATGAGTCTTGTCAATGGCCCAGTATTTATGGTTCTTCAGGATAAAAAAAAAAAAAAAGAACCAGACCAGTGACTGGCTACAGTGAATATTTGCATGCAAACCTGTCTAGGTAAAATATATATATTTATATGTGTGTGTGTGTGTGTGTGTATAATGATTAATTGCCACTGTGAGGAAGTAATATTCAACAGATAGTTGCAAAGGAGAGAGGCAAGTGAGTGGTGGACAGAGGCAGAGGTAGAGCCTCTATGGTTGTGACAAGTTTCTTAGAAGACTGTGGAGGATGGGGGAACATGTAGTTTGCAGGCAATGACAACAGAATTGTCTGCAGCAGATTGGAACTTGCATTCCAACTCTGCCCTCGAAAAGGCTGCCCAGAAGATCACCCTGGTACTGAGCAATGACATGATGTCCAAAATGAAGAATGTTTTCTGGATTAGACCTTCTTTGAAAGATCTCTACCATCCATGCTGCCCTGGAGGCCACTTTGGTATCTGTGGTTCCCTGCCCCAGGCCACATTGAAGCTTGAGGGTCATGTAGGTGTCTATGGTTCTGGAGCAGCCAGGAACCATGTTGATGTCCCTGGCCTGAGTTACCACCAAAGGTCATGCACAATTCGTTGGTCTGTGTTGCAGGTGAAGCCATATTGATATCTGTGGACCATCATGACACTGGGGGCCATACTGATGTGAGTGGCCTGTGATGCCATTTGAGGCCATGCTGATGGCCAGGCTCATGTATGGTCTATGGTTCTACTGTAGCTGGAGTCTGTGTTGATGTCTATGGTACATGTTACCACCAAAGGCTACGAAGATGTCCGTGGTCTGTGTTGCAGCCTGAAGCCATATTGATATCCCCAGTCTGTGCTGCCAGTGAAGGCCATGTTGATATGAGTGGCCTGCTATGCCACCTAAGATCATGAAATACATAAATATTATAAATAAGACAAGAAAAGACAATGAATATAAAGATTATATATTGGTACCAGTAACTGACTGTTGTGAATTAAGGCATGATTACTTGGAATCAAATATTTTTAGTGTACTTTGTTTAATCATACTGGCAAAACAGCAGCTAAATTTATTTTAAAATTATTACTAAAAACTGCAACAAATGCCTTTTTAAATGACTAAAGATAAGATAGTATGGTACTCACTACAGATTCAAGCTCTTAGGAGGTAGAATAACGTTCCAGAAGAACATGAGCTGTGTGATTCCCTATGAAGACAGAAGAGGAAATGAAGGGAAGGAAATGCCCAAAAAAGACGTGCCAGTGTGAGATGTCAAATTAGACCAGGAGAATCATTTCAAGACATCTTCCTGTGACCCCTCTGTTTGAGTGTTTGTTTCATCTGTTTTGTTTCTAAATAGGCTACATCTTGGCTATATTTTGTAAGATTTTTGTGACCCATGAATAACTTTTATTGTGGAAATAAATCAGAAGGACCCAACTCTTCATAGTGTGGTGTATTTTCCTTTGGGATTAAGTATTGGGTGAAAGTTCACTGACAACAAAAATGTTGATATCACGTTAGATACTTGTTGCAAGTACTCCTTCATGTTCCTCCTGTTAAGCAGAGTGAAGCTGTCAGACATCACTTGGCTACTTGATTGACAGCTGTCAAACCCAGGAACCCATTGCATGGGCAGGTAGCAGGTAGCAGAACAGAGTGAGTCCCCTAGTTTTAGGAGACACAAGTCTGGGAATGGGAATGGAAGTCCCTGTTATTGCCTCCACAGTTCTGAACTAACCAGGGATATGTTGATATTGCTGCTGCTCCTGAAGCTTCATCTGGGTGGCCCAAGCCCAGCCTTAGCCCAGCCATTTTCCAGGGATAGCAGAAGCTGTCAATCAAGCAGCTGCTTCTTCAGCATTTCCTCCAGCTGTCCTCAAGATAATCATCATTTTAAAACATCAGGAAGATAGCCATTCTGCTTCATGTAGACTCTGAATTATTCAGCCTGCAGCTGTTCCAGACAATCAGGTTGTCTTCTTGCAGCTGTCTTCATTCAGGGAAAAGGACTGCTCCCAGAGGACTGCTCTGTGTGTGTATGTGTGTGTGTGTGTGTGTGTGTGTGATTAGCTGTACAAGTAGCACTCCTTATTCTCTTGGTAGCAATAGGGAGATCTTTCTGTGTACTGACACCCCTTCGTCAGTCCTGTGCTACAGCCCCAGCCCCATGCAGTAAAGCCTCATTTAAGTTTTGCTGTCCAATTATGGTTGTTATCACAGGTAAATGGGCTAAAGTGACCATTGCCAGAGCAACACTGCTAGAGAAAGTGCATGAGGAGTACGGGACAGCGGCTGGGAGCAGAGAACACAGACAGCCAAGAACTGCAGATGTGTCAAGAAGATGAGAGAGAAAAGAGCTGAGATGATAGACAGTGAGTGCTTCCAAGATCAAAACTTGGTGCAAGCTGGGCTATGTGAAGAGCTCCAGGGACTTACTGAGAGTTGCTAGCTCCAGCTACTGAGGAGTTGTGCAACACTAAGAGCAGAGGGTCCCAACGCCCAAGCTCAGAGCTGTAACATTAGCAGCTAGGTGTTGAGCCACTGGCACTTGAAGCCTGGAGCTATAAGACTAAATAAAAGCAAAGTGTACAGACACCCTAGGCTTGGAGCTCAGACCACTAAGGGAGTTTTGTTTTGCCTAGTCATCTCTTACCTGAATAGAGAAGGCATTCGATTGGTGGCACCTGCTCTGTAGACACTTGGCTTCTAGGAAAGAAATGGAAGTTTGCAGCCCACAGACCAATAGCCTTCCTTCTTTATAGTTCTCTGATGATGCTGTGTGTGGGCTCAGTGTCACTCACACTGGAGAGACTGAGGCTGGCCCTGTCTCTGTGGGAAAATTGTGGGATCATTCTTTCTAATTGGGATGACTAAAATAAATGACTAAGTGCTGTCTGTTGGTAGTGTACTGTCTCCTGAAAACAATTCCAGTCAATGCTTCAAGCATCTCTGTGCATCAAGTTTTAAGATGTTTCTTCGAGGACTTCAGTTTCTGGCACTGAGCTTCTGACTTCTGATGCAGTCTCCTCTGAACTCAGAACAGGGAAATAGCTAAACAGTGATACCTATCAGCTCCCGACTCTGTCCCAGGTCATTGGGTTTAGTCATGTGGTGGTTTGAAAGAAAATGCCCCCCCAAAGGAGTGGTGCTATTAGGAGGTGTGGCCTTGTTGAAGTAGATGTGGTCTTATTGGAGGAAGTGTGCTACTGCGGGGGGGGAAGGG